TCTGCAGTGAGCCCGAGGACGAAGTGGGCGAGAAGGAGCTTAGCCATAGCGATAGGGATAGCAGCGAGCATCGCCGCCATAGCTGTTAGAAGGGAGTAGCATGTGTGTGTGTGTGCATGTACAGCGTGACGCGTGTGGGATATCCAGGGTGATCCGGTGTGTGAACAACAGCGTCGTGTGAGTGACGAACAGAGATTTGTATAGGTGCCGATGCGCCATAGCCATCTGAAGTGAGATTGTATCTGAACTGTGTTCTTGGTTTACATATCTCTGAGTTTTGAGTGGGCGCTTGTCAGTTTGCTGCGCAACCTGTTTGCATGCATGTGAAGTGTGAATGAAAGCGAGTCTGATTGCATCTCTAAGCTTTGAGTGGGCGCTGTGCGTCAGTGTGTCTCACCACCTGTTTGCATGAGTGTGAAGTGTGAAAGAAAGCGAGTCTGATTGCAGTCTGCCACTATTTCGTTAATCTGAAAAAGAAACGAATTTCCGTAGAAATAAGTCCGTTGGTGAAGAAAAATGAACCTTCATGGATAGTTGCTTTTAATTGGACTTAGGTTAAGGCAAGCTCTTAACTTTGCGTGTGTTGCCCTAATTAGGTGGTGTTAGGTATGCGGCCCTTATCTTAGCTTGCTTAGTGCCAATCGCTAACCGTTAATTAGGACTGATTAGCGCTGTAGGTTAGATTAGTGATGACCTAATCAGCGCTAATTACTAATTACCACCAAAAGAAGAGGATGCCTTTGCTTATTAACTGCGATTAGCCCTAATTTGGTAATTACCGCCAATCTTCCAGATAAGCGCTAATTAGAGACTAGCCCAGAATCCAGAATTAGCGCTAATTGCTAATTACCGCTAATCTGCTGGATTGGCGCTAATCAGAGATTAGCATGAAAATGGGGATTAGTGCAACTTAGTGATTGGCAGAGTTGTCCCGAAGACTACTTGAGAAAAAGTATTTGTGGGGGTTTTCAATCAATCAATCAATCAATTAACTTGTCAAGATTCTGGCCAACTTCGAAGTGCACATTCATCAGAAAGTACAATGTCGTCCAATTGCAAAAAGAAAGGAATGAACTGGAGAGGAGAGAGAGGGAAAGAAGAAGAAGAATAGGAAAGAAAGAAGAAGAAGATGATGTACACCAGCATAGATCGATGATAATGCTCTTCTTCTTCGCCAACCTCTCTCCTCCTCCTTATCTCCTCCCCTCTTATTCAAAATCAATGTTTGAATCCCTCTTCTACTGCAGGTACAACATTAGGTCTACCAAAGCCATGACCATCCTTCCCATTTCTTCCCATGTAGGTCGAGGCTATGGCGGACTACTAAGGGCTCTGCCCTCTTGTCCAAGGGACAAAACAAAGCAGCTACGTCGCTGCCCTCCTGTCCAAAGGACAACCCAAAGCAACTATGCTGCTGCTCATCAAGCCGCCATGCCTGACCCTGCCTCGAGCTTTCTTGATGCGGCACTACCCCAACTGGGGCCTTCCTGATGCATCGCCTATCCAGGTGATGAAGATGGTGTCTGCCATAGCCAGGTAGGTACCTCGCCACTCTCCCCCTCAATCCTCTTCTCCCTCCGTCTCCTACCGGTAGAGCTCCACCATAGCCGAGGTGGGAGCTCCAGTCTCCTTCCTCCCAGCAGCGCTGAAGTGCCCGGCTCTCCTCCAGCCAACGCTCCAAGCAGTGTGTTGCCAAACTTGCACACCGAAGAATGAGGCTGAGCTCTTGGCTCATCCCGATGATATCACGGCCTACTTGCCTCTTGGGCGGTGACTTCGAGGCCGCTCGGCCTCCCAAGCAACCGGTACCACCTCCATTTCGGAGGGAAACATCATTGCAAACTCTGATATTGCCCGTACAGGCCTGGTACTCGCCTAGGGCCCTAGACCTAGCCTACAACTACTGGGCCTCTTAAAATGCCAACTTTTGTCTTCTTCTGCTCGGCCTCGACTACCCGGCACATCTACTTCTAGTTGGTGCGGTACCGGCCTACCTGCTGCTCGAGTGTTTTTCCGCTGCTCTAAGTGTCACGGGTCTCTTGCTCCGCCACTTGAGTGTTTTCCCCCACTGCAACCCTCAATGTCACGGCCACAGGTAAGTACTGGCCCTACGGGCCTCCCAAACAAGCAAGTACCCTTGCGGTTCACACACACAGTCAGGCCGACAAGCACTCAGACAGGCATGCAGGTCACCAAACATGCACACACAGACTTAGAAAACTGAGCCGAATGCAGGAATCTCAACAAGGCATCCATTCCATCGACAGTACTCAGAAAGCAGCAATGTTCTCAGTCTGTGTTATGGCGGGTCATTACAAACTAGGCAAAATCGCAACTTGATTGGGCAGATCCTTATCTGAGAGGTCTGCTCCGATACCAAAATGCCAGATGGCGCAAACCAGAATAGAGAACCGACCTCTCAAAAATGGAGCAGTGATAGCACAGCGGAAGACTGAAATACCAACAATCAGACCCAATCAATGTCGTGATACGGACTCAACATGATCATCATCATCATCACACGGTGTGAGTGGCATGGTGCCGAGCACAGAGGCAAAGGGCGCCAGGCACATATCATACATAGATGAGGAGGAGGGAGGAGAGACGAAGGGGGAGGAGATGGAAATGCCGTCACCCAAAATGTCGTTGATACCGATCCAAAAATGTCTCTGCCCCAACGTCAAGTCTGAATCCAAATGTTGCCAAATCCCAATGTCATAAACCTCTCTCTCTCTCTCTCACACACACACACGCACACACTTAGTCTGACGAAGGGAGAAGGGAGCCAGAGCGCTGGAGGGAGAAGGGAAGTGATGGACTGGAGGGGAGGAAGAGGAAGAAGATCTCTCTCTCTCTCTCTCTCTCTCTCTCTCTCTCTCTCTCTCTCTCTCTCTCTCTCTCTCTGTGAAACGGTATTCACCTGTTCGCAGTAGCGAATGCAGATCCCAGGGCTCGATCCCTAGACTTACCTTACCTGTGTACATTACATTTGTCGACCCCAGGAGTTGGACCCACGACCTGTGTCTGTTCACACAGTTGGTAGACTGTCATAGGGTCTGTAGATGGTAGGGGTTTGATCTGTAGTACTGTAGCATAGTGGTCTTAGGGAGTTCTAGAAGTCGTAGTTGTAGGACCTCTGAAAGGTCAAGGTCGTAGCTGCTACAGTCCTGAAAGGTCAACGTCGTAGCTGCTACAGTATCCGAAAGGCCAAAGTTGAAACTTCCGGAAGGTCCTGGTACTGGCCTTTCGAAGCTGCCCACGTTTAGGCTTAGGCAAGTGGGCAAGTGGTGGAGTCTACCCGTGCTGAGTCAGCGGTCCCAGACCTAGTTAGTCCTAGTCCAGTCAAGAAAGTACCGTACGGGACTGTGTGCACCATGGCATGGGAAAGGGCCAGACCAACGAGCTATAGAAGTATAAACCAAGAGGCAGCGCCCAGCCATTCATTCATTCCTGCGTAAGCCATGCGGAAGCGCTGCCACAACGACTTGTGCGAGGTGGTCTGCAGTGAGCCCGAAGACGAAGCGGGCGAGAGGAGGAGCTTAGCAATAGCGACAGGGTAGCAGCGGCCATAGCCGCCATAACTGTTAGGAGAGTTTAGCGTGTGTGTGCATATCTGTGTACAGAGTGTCGCATGTGGGATATCCAGGGTGATCCTGTGTGCACGAATAGAGAGTTGTACAGGCGTTGTGCCGCCATAGCCATTTGAAGTGAACTTGTACCTGAACTGCGTTCTTGGTTACTATATCTTTGAGTTTTGAGTGGGCGCTTGTCGCCAGTTTGCTGCGCAACCTGTTTGCATGCTTGTGAAGTGTGAAAGATAGCGAGTCTAATTGCATTGGTACCGGAGCTGGTACCTGCTGTTCCATGCGCGATCCTCATGCGCCGCAGGGAGAGTCGCGCGCCATAGCCAAGGCGCCATCGGAGAAGAAGTCCGCCAAAGTGGATCCGTAAGGTGAAGAATCCGCCGCGCGCACCTGCAAGAAGACCACGACAAAGAAGAGAGAGAGAGAGAGAGAGAGAGAGAGAGAGAGAGAGAGAGAGAGAGAGAGAGAGAGAGAGAGAGAGAGAGAGAGAGAGAGACGAGCGATACAAGATTGGCTGTTACGTACGTGTGAAGACCGTCGTGTAGTCCCACGAAGAAGAAAAAGGCGGCCAGAGCCGCGAAGCTCAACCACAGAGTGACGAAGGAGGAAAGAGAGGACAGAGGGAGAGATCGAAGAGAGAAGTGCAGCGGAGGAAGAAGAAGGGAGAGACGAGAACAAAAAGAAAAAAAAAAGGGAAAGAAGAAGATAAACGGGGTGGGCGAAGAGAGAGGCGAGGAAGGAGGAAGGAAGGAGAAGGTTGCGACGAAGAAGAAGTCGACTGCCATAGCCGAACCGGCGTTGACCGGGAGTTGACCGGGAGTTGACCAAGGGTTGACTACGCGTTGACGAGGGCATTGACCAAGACTGATGACCATGAATTTGACCAAGCTGGAGCCGGTATAATCTCGCCAAGCCTTCAGCCTATCCCCTCCCCCTATGGATGTGCACACACCCTGTGGTACTTGCTGAGTCAAGTATGTCTGTCTCTTCTTTCTGCATTGAGTCTCTTCTGTCCAGGTGATAGGACTCTGTGAATGAAGGATAGAGCCTTGTTGACCAAACCCACACGGGTTGAGTAGGGCTAAAGACTGTGTCTGACGACTCGACTGTCCAGGAGGACACAAACCCTCCCAAGGACCGATACTGACCGGCGGGCTGCTCGGTGTGGCACGCTAGGCCCAAAATCCGAGTTGTGGGCTGCACAACAGGCCGTCTAAGTCTTGAGAGGACCTGCTGATCGCGTCGTCCTGTCTGCGACATTAAAGAATTCCTGAGGAGTTTCGGGGGATCTCCTTAAATGCCTCCTGATCAGCAACAGGTCCTGTAGTGACAGCCTTAGAGTAGGTCTAGGCCAGAGACCATAGTTGACAGGATCCTGTCCAGATTCTGCGGTCCTTAGATCGAGTCAGTGAGCGTTGTTAGTCAAGGGGGTAGAGTCTAAGTGGTAAGGAGTGGAACCGTTGCCTGGTTGTGCACCCGACACCATGGTTGACCTCCGTAGTGGTAAGAGTACCGTTCCACAGTCAGAAGCTGAGCAGGAACGGATCGCTGCCATCCTGAGAGAGAGAAGGGAGAAGGAGAAGAAGGAGCTCCTCAAAGAGGCGAAGTTAAAGGCAATAGTTGAGGAGCAGGCGGCGAAGAAGAAGAAGAAGTTGGAGGAAGAGATGAAGAGATTGCAGCAGGAAGAGGAAGAGAGAAAGAAGGTTGGCGAAGAAGAAGCAGCAGCAGAAAAAGAAGAAAAGGAAGAGAACTCCTCGAAAGGAGGTGTGGGGGAGAGAGAGGAGAAAGTAGTGGCACGAAGGCAGAAGACAAGTGGATGGAGAAGAAAATTAGCGAGTGGGTGGCTAATTTATAGTCGGGTGAAGATGAGGAGGCGATGTTGTATGTGCCTTAGGAGGAGAAAGAAGCATCATCAAGGAACCAACAAGGTGAAAGGAAGGAAGAGACTTCTTCATCTTCTTCTTCTTCTTCTTCTTCTTCTTCTTCTTCTCCTTCCTCTTCTTCTTCTTCTTCTCCTTCTTCTTCTTCCTCTCTCCCTCCTGCTTTCTCTTCTTCCTCCCCTTCATCTTCTCCCCCTTCATCTTCACCTTCCTCCTCTTCACTTTCATTTCTCTTTGTCTTCTTCCTCTTCTTCTCCATCTCCATCTTCCTCATCTCTCTCCCTTTCTCCTCCATCTTATTTTACTTCATCTTCTTCCTCCCATGGGCTACTTAAACTCTCATCTTCCACTTGCACACTAGGGGGTAGTACTCCGATTCTTTTCTAGATAATGCATGATGCAATCTTGATCATATGGGCTCTTCAAACTTGTGTTTTTCACTCTCACACTAGTAGGTAGTATAGCGCTACACTCATGGATGCTTCTTGATGCAATCTTGGTGATTTGGCCTCTCCAAACTTGTGTTTTTCACTCTCACACTAGTAGGTAGTATAGCGCTACACCCATGAATGATCCATGATGCAATCATGGTGATTTGGGATCTCCAAACTTGTGTTTTTCACTCTTACACTAGTAGGTAGTATAGCGCTACACTCATGGATGCTTCATGATACAATCTTGGTGATTTGGGCTCTCCAAACTTGTGTTTTTCACTCTCACAC